TCACGTCGTGATATCGGAGGACAACGGTTGGGTTTTCGTCGGAATTTACGACGGATTCAACGGCCCTGATGCCCCTGATTACTTACTCGCCAATCTCTACACCGCTGTCCTCAAAGAACTCAAGGGTTTGATTTGGAATGATAAATTCGATTCAACTGCAACTTCATCTTCTATGAACTCATCCAACTCTGCTTCAGTTGAGGAAGACGATGGAACCCATGTGAAAAATCAGTCGGCGGGAAATGGGGTTGTGAATTTGGAAGCTGATTCGGGGAGGAAMAAAGAGAGAGTTTACAGTACCAACTATAGGACGAGTCAGCTAATGAAGAAGGCCGATCAGAATCCTAAGGATTGGAAATGTGAATGGGAAAGGGAAAGGTTGGAATTCGATGGGAAGTTTGACAATAGACAATTAGATCACCACCCGTTATGGGATGAATCAGCAGCAATCAATCATTCTGAGGTGTTGAATGCTCTGTCTCAAGCATTGAGAAAGACAGAGGAAGCATATCTACAGAATGCAGACAAGATGGTTACTAGAAATCCAGAGTTAGCTCTCATGGGTTCTTGTGTTTTGGTTATGTTGATGAGAGGAGAAGATGTGTACTTGATGAATGTAGGAGACAGCCGCGCCATTGCAGCGCAGCAACTCGAACCGGATTTTGGGATTGGAAAACCCTATAGAGACTTTGAGAGAATCAATGAAGGAACTCTGCGAGTATTTGAATCCTCTAATGGAGTTGAGTTTGAAAGATTACCAACCTTGGCTTCCCAGCTCACAATGGATCATAGCACGTATACAGAGGAGGTAATGTTCTAGTCTATCACTCACCTTCCTCACAAGACTGCATTTTTCATGTTCATGTTCTCTCTGGTTACAAGTTTTTTTTGAGATTAACAACACATTTGAATATCAGGAAGTTCAGAGGATCAAGAATGCTCATCCCGACGACGCTTCTGCAATTATGAACGACAGGGTGAAAGGTTACTTGAAAATCACTCGTGCTTTCGGAGCTGGCTTTCTCAAACAGGTACTCTACATTTCTAATCCTTTGTATGAATCAGCTAGAATTCAAGAGAAACATAGTTTGCCCAGTGTTATTTGGGCGGAAATCTATTCCTGAGGCAGTTTGGAAAATACAAAAACCAATGGTTGAATCACTTCAGAATACAATGTTACATAAACATTTGAATGCTGTGCTGATGAGCTGAGTGTTTTGCAGCCAAAGTGGAATGATGCCCTGCTAGAGATGTTCAGAATAGACTATGTGGGAAACTCACCCTACATCACCTGTGATCCATCACTCTGCCATTATAAACTCAGCCCAACAGACAGATTCTTGATATTGTCCTCTGATGGACTCTACCAGTACTTCACCAATGAAGAAGCTGTTTCTCAAGTTGAGTCCTTCATTGCTTCTTTCCCTGAAGGAGATCCTGCTCAACATCTCATTGAAGAAGTATTGTTCCGAGCAGCTAAAAAAGCTGGTAAGCTCCTTGTCGTCGTCCATCTACAAGGATAGGAAACAAAGAAACAAACGGATATATGTTGCAGAAGTGTGAGTGAACATAACTAATGTGATTTGAAAAACTTGCAGGATTGGACTTCCATGAGCTGCTCGATATCCCACAAGGGGAGCGGCGGAAGTACCACGACGACGTTTCGGTAATCATCGTTTCATTCGAAGGAAGAATTTGGCATTCATTGATGTAAATAGAGTTACTAGCCAATAGAAATCAAGATAACAGAAGGTTGGGCAATTAATTCTGCCATTTATTTCATTTATTCTTCCCTATTCTCACACATATGCAATCAAATGAATCTCTCTCTTGTTCATCCTTTAACAGAGAGAGAGTGTAGAGTTGTTCAGGCCCCTGTGTTCACCCCAACCGTGTGTGTGTGTTGCATCAAATACCAATATTTTCCAAAGCAGAACTGTTTGGAAAATTTCAACAATTTTGTTCAATCTAATAAATCCTCAGCAGGTTTTGCAGATTTCAGAAGTTTTCTTCTTTAGAAGTTTTGACTTCCTACCTAGTACCTACCTACCTACCCAAAATAGATAATTAGGTAAAAGAACAATATAGAAATTGGAAGAAATGCCAAATCATTCACCTTCACTTTTGTGAATTTTGAAACCAAGAAGACTTGAGGGATTACTTGTGGGTGACAATTTTGTTTTCAGTTTCTGTTTTTAAAATTTATGTTTGTTTCCTAATAATTACTTCTAAAAATTTCTTCAAAGTTCTACCCAAATTTTAAAGAATATATATTCTATTCAAAATAAGCTTAATTTTAAAAAATAATAATAATAAAACATCATTTTCAAAAGTAACTTTTAACTCCTTATTTTGAATTTGACCTTGTTTTAATCAGTCAGAACTAATCCTTAGTGGAATTGGACCTGGGGAATCAAACAAAAGAAAGACAAGGTTCTTTTCTAAACTTGGTTTGCAAACAGAGCCAAACCTGTTGGGTTAGGTTTTCTGTAAACATTCTTGGAAATATAAATCTTGGTCAGACTTGAAAAGCATCCATCACAGGCTGAGTTGTTCATTTGGTGTTTGAATATGGCATAATGAAATGGTTACCATACAATTCACTATTAATAAAATATCTTATCTATCGTTTAAGCTATTTTACAGGCTAATCTAGGTATAAAAAAATCCATTTTGAATTCAGATTCCATCGCCTTTTACAATGTTTTAAAAAAGTTAGCATCATTTTTTCAACTAATGCATAGAATGTGTACATAACATTAACAAATCCTAAAAGCTATTCTTTCTTTCTTTTTTTTTTTTGACAAAAATATAGAAAGATATGAATCTTGGACTTTGTCAATTGAATTGTGATCATTGTGGACATTATAGTCAACGCAAAAGACAAATTAAATTACAATCTGAACAACTCAAACACCTATACTAATTATAGGTTAATCAAAACAATTACTTAAAAAGGGGCCAAAAATACAACTAGATCAAAACCTTATCAATTTAAGCGCAAACATTATCTGTTACACCATAAAAACAAAATAGTTTATGATCCCCACACCATTTACCTATATATCTATATGTTATTTATTATCACTATAAGAAGACAAAGAAAAAGGTTTGAATGAGAAAGAATATTTAGATTCCTTGAACCAAATCTTTTTCCAAACTAAAAATATCACTAAGAATCAATGCAAATAGTCAAATAAATTAAGGTCAGTTATTGAATTTCAAGTCGTATTTGAACATTGAAAATAGTGATGAGATTCTTCACCGCACATAATAATCATGTATGTATGCATGGATGCATGTATATGTATGTATGTGCCTATGTGGGTAACCGAAGAAAAAGTAGGCAGACAAAAGTGAGTGCCGCCCGCCAAATGCTGTAAATAGCGAGAGAATAGAGAGTGGTAGGCCAGGCTTAGACAATTCTGTATTCACAATCACCCAAATAGAATATCAATATTATAAAAATTGGGTGAATCGGATTCCAAATTTTCAGTTTAATTAAGATAATGTAAACCATATCTAAATATTCTAAATCTTTTGGGAATCTTGCTAATGTGACGGTTGTCCAACTTCATTTGGAAAGCTCTAACTAGTCGCAAAACCAGAAGATATCAAGCTAATTTGGATATGGATAATGTACCATGGGTTGGGTTTTGGCTCTGAAATATTACTTTTGAGCTGTCCTTATCTCAGAACATAATGTTTAACCCTGGATAGGCTGATTAAAAGGGATATCAACTCCACTCCACTTTTCCCCCACCCCACCAAATATTATAATATTGGAAAAGGTTCCTGAGAAGTTTGAAAGGTCTAAGTCTGTTTCAAGGGCTTGGAATTCTACTGTTAATTTCACCCGGCAGCCCATGACTGCTTTTTCTGTGATCTTAAAAGGTACTATAAGCCTACAGACTGGGAGGGAATGAATTTCTCTGATCATAATCCTCAACTTGGAGTGTTTGACCATTCAATGGTTTACAGAGAGCAATATTGTCTCGAGCTAGAAGAGAAGAGCTGGGGAAAACTACATCTCTAATAATGAATAGGTGTGTGATTCGAAAGTTCAAGTCAATTTCTAGTACTCATTTGCATGAGATGGAAAGTTGAAGTCGGCTAAATTTGTCAACGAAGAAACTCATCCCCTTTGACAGGAGCATAATGCCATGAGGCCATTAGATCGTATATGAAGACTATACTGTCTATCATGGTGTTTGTTACTATCATAAACCCATGGAAAGAAGGACCAGCACATCTCTTTTGACTTTTAGCTCCGATGGAAAATGATAATGTGGGTGGATTTCCAATTTGAACCGCACCAAAAGAAAACAAGAGATATAAAATCAAAAGCTTAGGCCATAATATAAAATAAAGGATAGTGGATGCAAATTCGTTTTCACAATAATCGGCATTCATAAGCCACTTGCACATTTATAGCTGACTCAAAGCATGAAAGAATCTAACAAAATCAAGGGCCATAACAAACAATGATATTTCAGGTCTAGTTATCAAATTACAATATTGATATTTGGTGGGGCGAAAGAACTTTAGGATAATGTACAAAAAGTGGAGGAGAAAGCAAAAGTTAAAAAAAAAAAAAAAAGAATACTACAGGACTGTAAGATATAAAGATTCTGAAACAAATAAAATATACCTTGTTGGAAGTGATCGATGTTCTATGGAAAAGGAAAGGATGAAGTAAACATAAGGCCTCTAGAGAAACCAAGAGTCCTATGTTTTTAGATATGATTTTTAGCCATTAGACGCAGCAAACTAAAATCTTTCACCAAGAAAATGATCATGTATAATACCTCTGGTTCTGTTCCGGAGATCAGCCTTGGACCTGAAGACAGATGTTTCCCCGGCCCTTTTAGACACTACAGATGAAGACAACAGGGAAGGCTGAAGCAGTCCCAAATTTTCCAATGTCCCTCAATCTCAGCTAAAATTCATATGAATGCAGGTAGGATTGCAAGGAAAAGGGCAGTCAATTAGCTTCACTGAATTTCGTTTGAAGAACCAATCACCCACAGCCTCTGCTATAGTCTGTACTTGAGAAATAAAACAATAGTTCATGCAGAAATATAGGGAGATTTATCTGTAAAATAGTACACTTCTAAGACATCTAAATATCAGTTCCCACAAGCACCACGATCAACATTTCAACCATGAGTTCTTGACAATAATAAAAATTTGTGGAAGGATCAAATTTCTCCTCTAATTCATTTCTAAGATTGTTTACGGCTAAAATAGATTTTAGAGGTTGGTCCATGGGCAGGCAATGGGCATCTGAGAAAGTAAATAACGAGATAACAACAGAAGAAGGTTGTAGACAGCTCAAGAAGCATGTTCTCAAATGGAATCAGAAAAGCACAAAGATGTAAAAATATATAATGGGAAGAACAATTCTAACAAGCAAGCAGAAACTACATATTTTCTCGGTTATCCAGTTTAAAGTATGAACTTTCCTTACCCTATTATCTATTCTTGGAGAATTGGGTGAATGCCATGTCTCAGACATCCATGTTTGGCAATGGATGAAACAAGAATTTACAAAAAGTCCTCCTTCCTTGGTGTGCTTGAAGTCCTTCAGTGCCTTCAGCAACGCGTCCCGAAACCCTTATGGAAACGAAAAAACAGACGGACAAGATCAGGAACAAAGTTGTGTTTCATCCTGACTTTACCAGATAACCAAAACAATCAACACATAAATTCCAGAAATGACATTTTCCAATGAGAACAATCATAAAAGGAAATTTTTATTTTATTTCGGTTGTTCCACATGTGCTGCATCTTCATATCCTCTCTAAAAAGGTATATCTGAAGAAAGAATTATGAATGCTAAACTAAATCTAACAGGTCTTATTCTCTGGAGGATGTGTAAGGATAACTCACAGCCTCATATATTGCTTGTGATCATAGGCAAGTAAATGCCGATTTCTTGATAAGGGTTCTCACTTTTCAAGAGACAATAAGTGGAATTTATATAATCCACAATAATTTCTGATCACAAAATGCTAGCACCAGAATGTATATGTTGTCTAAGATCATCCAAATTCTACCTATACCTTGAAGTGGACGAATAAAACATAGTCATAGACTTGTAGAGTTCAAAATATGTACATATACCTTGAAGAATTTCAAGCTGAGCATGATCACATTTATGAATATCAAGCCTACACTTCTGCCATGAACCGGCAGGTTTTAACGCATTTGGTACCAGGACATTTTGTATCTAATAGCAGATACTGGGTCTCAGAAAATATATACAACAAAATTAAATATTTGAATAAAGTTAGGGTATCATAAGAAAAAATTACCTGCCAAAAATCATAAGCTGGGTTGACAAGAAACAACGGGGTTCTTATGTGTTTGATAATTTCTTGAGGAAAGAGACACTGTCATTCCAACTCAAAGAAAATTATTGAGGCTGGAGGCTAAAATACGTATTAGTAAATCCAGACCAATTTCATTAATACTATAATCAATAATGTAGTATTTGGTGGATCAAATACCTGTCTAGTAACAAACCATGATTAACTGATAATAATAGTTGAGAATTTTTTTCAAAACAAAAAGTTGAGAATTTTGTGAAAGGGTTATAAGAACGTTTCATTAACAGGAAAAAGAGACCTACCTTATATGGTTCTTCTGTTGCTGTACAATCCTTGTGTAAGCTTTTCACTGCATTCTGAAGGCACAATGACAGGTAAATAGTTCAAACATTAAAAGGAAGCAGAATTTCCTTAAACTTCTTTTCTTAGTAAAAAATAAAATACATATTCATGTTAGATCAATAACCTAAATCTACCCAGAGGAGATTAATTAAAAAATAAATAAATCTTTCATTTCTTTTAAATATCTTAATTACGGAATAATACTTCTAAGTGTATTTATTGTTTAGATCTTTTTACATGTTTCCATGATAAATCAAACTTTCGTTAAGATGAATGAAAGACTAAAAGCAAGTCCAATTCTTTTCATTATTAATTTGAATACACTCAGTAAATCCTAATTTAATTTATTTGATTATGATCATATACAATATTCACGAATGATATGAATTTTGCTACGTGATTAAGTTTGTTTACCATCTATGTTCACCAATAATATTCATTTGCTGTATTTGATTCAACTAGTGTATGGTACCTAGCTAGATTTATGAGAATCAACCTTTTAACTTGCAAAATTGGTAGAAATACTATCACATTCATGCCCAAACGTCATGCTAGGTAACATTGTTTAACTCAGTCAGAGTATGCATTTACATGATACATGTACCTAGCTAGGTTTAGCTATGAGAGAGCATTTAACAGCAATGTCCTCGCTACTTTTTGAAATTCGAATTTACCTAGCATTAGATACTAGCAAACTGCAACTGTCATTAGACACACTGCTTATATAACTTCTGCCGCTATCATTTGGGTGGCAGATTAGAAGCATTAAAGAAGAATTCAGAGAAAAAACTCATCCACTGTGCATAAACTATAAAACATAAATACCACAAATCCACAAGGTTGTTTCAAACGAAAATCATAAGGTTGTGTACCATCTAATAACTAATAATATAAATCAGAAGAGACGAGGACCAGAGAACAACCTGGAGGTTGAAAACATCATGATAGAAAGATCTCATTGTATGATTTCCTGAAACATCTTTCCTGAAATGGAGAAAAAAGGATCCCAATTGGCACTTCTCTTTTAAATAATTAAGCAATGATGCAGAAAGAAACAGTAGTTGCACAATTAAGCCAAGCATCACAGAAGAATCCTATCAGTATTTATACTACAACAATAAAATATCAAGGAATACTCCCAGATTTTCTGACAAGGTGTGCCGATCACAACATAGTACATAAAAAAGGTGTTGATATGATCCTAAAAATGGTTTGTATCCGACTGCTATTTATGTTAATAAAGACTACAGCAGATCATTCAGGGAAAAACAAGAAGATTATTCATGTGCAGAACAACATGTTAATCAAATCATACTCATCGAGGAAAAATCCAGCATCAGCCAGACACTTGACAGTTGCATCCTTCGGCAAAAGCTCTCTGAAGTCATCACAATGTATAAGGGTAGCCAATCCCCCAGCAGAGCACCCTGAAAGAAGAGCCTGGAGAGAATAGAAGTGGGTGAACACATAAAAGGGCCAAATTTAAGATGCAGATAAAATGTTTCATTAACCAGTTGATTGTGGATGTAGATCTCAAAGAAATACAGTATAAATCTCATAACAACATGCTCACCTGCCTAGCCTTGGATAGGCCAGCTGACAAGAGTTCATCCATAACTGCTTCCCAGATGAGCTGGCCTCTGAAATAAAGTTTATTTCCATTCTATTGCAGGGACAAACATATTAAAATGACCAGGTTGAAGTTTTACCAAGTTATATGAAAATGAAAATGATTATTATTATTACTGTTTTTTCTACATAAGAGGCCATATGATTAAGAGAAATACAAAAGAGATAATAGGAAAATGATTATACATTTATTAGAAATGAAAAACGGTTCCTGACCTGCTAGCAAGACTAAAGAAGCTATGACTGACCCTAATCCAAGTTTTGCAAACTATTGACTGTTTATAGAAAGGCAAATGACCAGATAACGTACTTGAAAAATGTTGTACCTCACTCTCAGGATGGCTGGCAAATGATGCTCCATCACAGTAGCGTATCTTGATTTTGTTCCAATTATAGAAATCTGAGGAGTGCTTGATGCAAACTAAAAATTAGGATTGTGTAATCAAAGACTACAACCAATCACAGATTATTACACACATATAGTGCAAAACATTTTCCTTAAAATGTATTGAATTGAAAAAATCTTGGAAGTATTATACTCTCAAAATAGAAAATAGGACCTCTTAATAAAACGCAAGTTCAACTTAGAGAAGGAAGAAAAAAACAAATTGACCATAGAAGTATTTCAAATGATGACCACTTTCAGAAAGTGTATGAATTTCAAACGTTTATCCCCAAAATGAAACATAAGTTTAAGAATGATGAAATTCATGTGAGTTGTGTCATCAGGAACACAAATAACAAAAAATTGGAATAAACTTCAAATGCATTGATGAGAGCACAACTCATACTTTAGTAAGAAGCATTGGATACTACTGCCTTCCATATTAGGAAACTTCACCCAAAAATCAACAAATAGTAGAAGGTTGGAATTAGATGAAATGACATACTAAAAGAAAGGGCTGTTCTTTGTACTTAAGGTCCCACTGCCTACTATATCTCATTATATCTTCTAACTAGCAACATTCATTCAGAAATAAAAAAATTGTAGTTTGGACATAATCAGATAACATAGATACAGCAATAACATGAACGTAAGAAAACATTGGATCAATAACTTCCAATGAATTACTATTTAAATTACGTTAGAGCCGGTCAGAAGCAACATTAAGTTTATATTCAAGTTCAGCAATATTAGTGTAAATGGAATCAAAACAATACCAGATAAACTGATAAATAAGGAGTACTGTAGCCAAAAGAAAATGGTAATACACGAAATGTACCAGGATTTTTGGACGCATCACTACTTAAAATTCCAGAAAAACGAACACGGCGTTCCATGTAGTCCGATGAACCCAACGACGTCATTTTACGTAAAGAACAGGACGAGACTGTATTGCACCAACCTCCACCCTAATCAATTCTCCCAAGAAAATGAGGCTCAAAGTCGACACAAAGAAGAAATTTGGAAAGTCAGCCCCGTAATCAAGAAACTAAATATTAACCTCAATGTGAAGCACCCAGTTGCTAGAACCAGATCCGAACCCTTTCTGGAAATGGTATCCAGGCGAGCTCCCATCCAAACATACTGCAATTATCGAAATCTAAAAGTAAGCATGAATATAAACGCAATGCAAGTGAAAGAGACACGATAGGATAGAGAAGTAAGAGAAATTGGAGAGCGTACGAGCGCCTCTTGMTCTGGCACTCTGCAGCAAGGATAGATCAACCAAATCGGGGTCATTGGCGGCGTTGAGATCGAAAACGTGGTTGACACCGCCGTCTTCTGCATGCCAAGAGTCGGAGAAGAGAGAAAAAACGAAAACAATGAAAGCGAAACAGATGGCTGCAACCGCCCAATCTTTCTTGGACCATTTTCTCCACCATAAAAGAGCTCGCGACAGAGGGATCGCCATTGAAGGTCAAAAAGGCCCAATAATTTAGAATCCTATCAGCAAATCAAACTCGAATACACAGCTAAAATTAGCCGATTGCGGCACTGCCAACGAATTKTATGATCATAATCATGCCCACGCAGACCCGGGCCTTCACACGGCTGATTCAGTGATTTCTCTAATTAATCTGTATGATAAAAACAGAGAGAGAAGAAACGCGCGCAGTTTTTTTTTTTTTTTCTTTTTCAGTTTTTTGGGGAAAATAAAATAAGGCGCGCAGTTTGAGTACAGAGACGAGCGACGACGAACACAACGGCCGATGGCAATTGTTAGTAATTTTGTTATATATTTAGGTATTATATATTTTATTTCTAATAAATGATGTCATTTCATTTTTTTTTAAATCAAAAGTCTAATAGAGCTTAAAAACATAAAATAAAGAAGAGAGCTCAATAACTAAAATGAAAAGTTCGTCTTTAAGTTAAAAAAATCAATATCATATTCAAATCTAATTATAACAGGCTTCAATTTAAGTTCAAATTTAAAAGTTTTTGGGGACATTAGGGTTAAATTTTGTAATGAAATGATAAGCTTAGTGGGACTAAAAAACAGATGGTTATGTTAAATTGTGCATAGATAAATTTTAGATTTAAATATTTTTTTTGTCCATGAACTTTAGTTCATTTTAAACATTATAGTATCAAAACTTTTATTTTGATCCACCTACTTTCAACTTTTATTCATTTAGTCCATGTTCTTACGAAATATTTATTATGATGTCTATACTTCAAAAATGCAACCATTTTAGTTCTTCGCTTTCATTTTTATCTCATTTATTTCAACTATAATTTTAGCATGACACTTCACATTTACTCACTAAATTTCTTACAATATAGCCATAAATTAAAGTTAAAGAGTTCACATTGTATACAAAATTTGTGTTAAAATTTAACAAATAAAAATAAAATAGTCACTTTAGAAAGTATTAGACCAAAACGAGTATTTTGAAATTACATGGACTAAAATGAACAAAAGTAAAAGAGAGACCAAAATGGTATTTAAACCTAAATTTTACATATATGAGAATAAAAAGAATATTGAATTTGGTGAATGAAAAATTGTGAGATATATAACCTTCTGCAGTATTCAATAGATGTTGCCAAACTTTGGGTTTTTTTTTTCTCTCTCCAAACTTTTGCTTTTCTTTTAAATGAAAACAAACTCAAACAAGAGAAGAAGGTATTCAAATTCAAGATGAGTACCAACTTAGCTCTACTAATTAAGAACAAATAAAGGGGGGAGAAGTGATGATCATCCCTAAGTTCAACAAGGAAGAGAGGGGGCAAAAGCCTTGATATGTCTATGATTTGAACTCTGAATCAATAACATTGATGAAATGGTAAAACTACAAGTAGTCAGTACAGATCTTCTGGCATTTTGAACTAATAATTAATCTACCATATGAACCTCTGCTTTCCAGACTCATTTTCCCAGTAAAATGGACGAAACAAGAACATGATCATTGTGAAGGCGTTCAAAGCTATGAAAAGAAGTGCAATCAAAAGCCAACTTAGCCTACCATTCATCTGAGAATGAAGCATCAAGAAGTAAAATGGAGTCGTGAAGTATCTGAACTCAATCAGTGGAGCAGGAACAAGAACCGCAGCTGTGGCTACGAAATATGCAAGTACCCAGATTTTCCTCCGAAATTTCCCTGCCAGAAAAAGGTTCAGTCAGGGCAAGTGAAGCAGAAAGAAAAAGGTATGATAGAACGAATAGAGTTATTGTGTTACTGGCCTCATTGTATATGAGTGAAGTTTACTAGGATCATGGCACTGGTAGAAACTAGAACGTAAGTCACTTACCTAATATGTTGAAGATGGAAAACCAAGAACAAACGTAAGCTGGAACTAGAAGGTACTTCGACGACCAATTAGTGTTGATAACTTTACGCCAAAGGTAAAAGGGGTAATGCCGATTGTCAGCGAGAAGATAGGGATGAGCTATGCTGCAAAAGATCAAATAATATGAGATGAATGAAATGGAAGATGAAGTATGCAATTGGCATTTTTTTTAGAAGACTCTAGTCACAGAATCGTTCAAAATTTACGCTTCTTAAAGAAAAACAAAAAAGCAAAAAACACTGAAAAAGTTTGATGGGTACAATCAAAACATCAGATGGCTGACAAGTGACAACTTACAGTTGGTCAATCTCTTAAAAAAAATCAGTAATTTTATTAAATCAATCGTATTTATCAAAAGAATGATCTCAGAGGTTGTAGCATGCTATATGAGAAATCTAATCCTCCAATACTATGCCGACTCAGTGACTTGTTTCTGAACCTGAACTGACCTGAAATAGTGTACAGAGATGAAGCCAGCAAGAAGAAAAATAAAAACTTGAAAACAACTCAGAGGTCTGCCTTTCCAGAATGAGTGAAACAGATCTATGACTTCACTTAAATTATAGTGCAATGGAGCCGTAACAAGAGCAGAAAATAGACCAAAATACATAATCTGTGCAAAATGAAGAGAGACAGTATGCGCTTCCTTTGCACCTGCATTTTTAGATATGTAACAATTAAGTTTTTCTATAATGAAAGTGTTAGAAAATAAAAATTATAAATGCCCTTCATGCAAAATAAAATTAGGGTGCCAAGATAATTATTACCTAGAACTATACTTCCATTCCAACGAACGAACGCAACAAAGGCCATAAGCACAATCAAAAAGGGGCTAAATGAAACCAAAAGCTCAGATTTCATACGCCACATGGTCAATATCATGGACCTAACCTCATCCATTAGACCTGCAACAAAAAGCCCAACAGAAGCGTAGCAAGAATCAACAGAAAAATCAAAGACTTGGAGGGGATAAAGAACCAAAATAGGGTGAGTTACTGCTTAAAAGATATGTTTGTGGCAAAATAAATAAATAAAGAAAGAAAAAGAAAAGCTAGTTGTTACTCCAAATGAACCATACCGTAACACAGTTTTGTAACAATTTAATGGAAACAGAATAAAACTGTGAAATAATACCTGATTTCAGGTTTATTGACGAGAATCTTGTGCTACGTGGAAATTGTTTGCCAGCAACCTTTGTACGATAGAACTTTCTCTTTCGCAAGTTCGCACTGGAAACGAGACTACCTTTAGCATTCAATGGACTAGATTCTTGCACCAAATCATTCTCATGTATTTGTACATTATCATCGTGGCAAGTCAAAGTAGTATCAATAACTCCACAGCATGCTACAAAAAGCATCCATATAATATTTGTTTGTCGAATGACAACTGCAAAGATACCAAACTGTATGAAGGGATGAAACTAAGTTACCAGAAGTTTACAAGATTGCTAAGAAACCGAACTTTTCATTGAGAAGAATGAAAACAAAACAGAAATACAAGTGCATACAAAAACAGTCCCGAAAAAGGAAGCCAGCCTAGAGAAAGGGCTTCCAATCCAAAAGAATATGACCTAGCTGATAATTACAGAATAAATTTGAACAGACCCCCATAAAGAGACATTAAACCTTACGAGGTCCCAAACAAACTCTCACTCTCTTTCTACCCCCTAAGATTCTATTATTTCTTTCCCCCATAAAGATATGAACTGAGAAATTTCAACATAAAAGTAGCAAATATTTAACTAATGGATAGAACAAATCACATTAAACTTTGTCTGCTCCAACTAAAGGTGCTCTATTGACTAGAGTAAAACAAGGGTCTTCAACAACCCAAGGAACTCATATCATTCTGAGGAAATATTTCACCAAAAAGAAAAATATGAAATTAGAGGAAGATTAATAAAAAGGAAAGCTCCCCATACATGTTATACTTCCATAATAAAGGAATTTTATTTTTCTCTGACCTCATTCTCTTTATATCTAATTCATAAGGCAAGACAATGAAAAATGAATATGCAACAAAATTAGGAAACAATCATGGAAGAGTATTAGTAAGTTTCTTACCAATGCACTCGACCAGTAATTCTTCTTCAAGCATGCTAGGTACATAGCAAGCACTGCTGTTAGTGACGCAACATCAGTATAATAAAGAAAAGTGAAGAACCAATGGAGAGGATAAAGTGCAAAAATCACTGCATAAGTAGTTGCCTTTTTATCATCAAGATTCGGCCTTAAATGGGAGATTATATCATATACAAGAACACTGCATAAAACTGCCAAAATCCCATTGGTTGAACGAAGAATCTGAGTGGAACAGGCTTCAGAAAACGATGATCCTGCTTGCGTAAAGACAACAGCAGGAAACAAAGAAGCAATATGAGCGAGTGAAAGATAGTACCTGCAGCAGTTTCGGATTCCATGTATTAACTCTTTGTGAACACATTATTATAATAATCACCAAGTTCTGCAAAGAACCCTCGTGATGCTACCATGATAAGAGAAAAATAGAGTAATTACTTTTCCCCCGCAGAGCCAATTGAGACTTGAGAGGTTCATAATGACAAAAACACGCAACATTTCACCTAATCCAGACTAGATATGGGACAGCATTTTCTCTGACGGATAAATCAACAGAACCGACAGCCTTATTATTTACTAATTCGGATAGAAACCATGTATGCAATCCACAATTGGAGTCGAAACCCTTAATGCAAAGAATTAATTAATAGAGTTACAAACATACAGTCCAGGAGGAGTAGTAATCATGGGGTCCCAACTTCTGAAGTTCCCACTGCAGTATTTCTGAGCTTGAGGTATGTGAAATATCTCGTCCTTGAACATCATGCATGATCATAGTAGCAAGTTTTTCAGCTAATTGTACTAAGAAAACGTAGTTATGAATGAACAAACTGAAAATTACAAAAAACCGAGATGAATTAGACGAAAAATATTTGAAAAAGATCTCTTAGCTTGCGTACCATATAAGGATCGGGAACAATGCGATTGACGAGGATGGAGATCGGAACGACCCACAAACTCACGATAACGGCTACAGCAATCCTGCCCATTTTTTCCCACTTCCAGATTCCGATTCTCGATGCGATAAACGAACAATATCTTTCTGAATCAGGGCAACAAAATGGATACTATTAAGAATCAGGATCAAGTCATCATCGCTAGCTAGGGTTCATAATCTGCCCAATAATCAAAAACCCAATTGGATTTGGGATTATTGACAATGAGCGCTTCAGTTACGCGGGAAGCATGCCAGTAATAAGGCCTTCGGTGGCATTTTTTAATTTTTTGAGGAATAATTTTTTTTTCTCTATTTTTGTTGTTCTTCTACTTCTTCTCTTTCTGCTTTTTTAGAAAGGTTTTTTTTTTCTTCCGAAGAAGGGTTCTTTTAGATATGTTTGGTTTATGTTTTCGATATTTTAAAATATCTAAATATTTTATTTTAGAAAATTGATAACAAATAAAGATACTATTATAATATTGATAAGATCATTAATTAAAAAATATATGTGTACAATAGGCCTAAAATAGTCCAGAAAAAAAAAATTTGAAAGTTCTTAAATCATTTTAAGAAAAAGTAAAAATCAGTTTGTAGTTCAAAGATAATTTAACATATACCTCCAACAAGGGCAACATGTACTAAAAAAAATCTAAAAAAAAAAAGAGATATGTAACTTATTTTATTGATTTATTAAATGTTTTGCAAGTTAATTAGTTGAGCTAATAAATAATAAAACCTTAATTTTCTCTACTTGTGGTATACTTTTAAATATTTAATTATTTGCTCGTATAGTGATTTAAAACAAAAATGTAAAAATGGAGTTTATCTTTAATTTACATCGTTTAAACTCACCCAAACTATTTTAACAACATTCTTTAAAAAAAAAAAAACTATTTTAAAAACAATGAGTGACATGGGTAGGAAATAAAAATTCTTTTGAAATCGAAAATGAAAAACTAATGTTCAAAAAACAGGGTTTGGTTTAAATTCCAAGATCTTACTCAATTCTTAATATGAATGGTCTGCTACTATTTTGGTATCTTAGGATATAAATTCTCTATTTTTTTTTTAATTTTATGTTCATTCATTATCTAGTAATGCATAACTCAATTTTGTTTCTAGATTTCACAACCAATGCTTCATAAAGATTGTGATCTAATGCATCTATTCAATCCATAAAAAAAAACCGCCCATGGTGAAAACTGCATTTTATTATATATATATATATATATATATTATCAAATTAACATATACAGAAAAGGGTATGTTTTAGAAATAAAATTTCCATTATCAGTAGTGAGATTTTATGCAATTAGTCATTACTTATCATTAATAATACAACTATTGATAAATACACAACTCCTGCATATCCAGCAGCAAAACTAAGGCCAAATTTATTCTATGTAGCCAAATGCATTCATCAGCCTTTTGGGAGAAGCAGAAACTAATTAAGAAGAGCAACATGTGTTGAAAAGGATGATTATTCAAAATTTCATCACTGATCAAATATCCAGAAGAAAAAGGAACGGAAAAAAGGTTTACAAGGGCTAGATAACTGAATGATTGACAAAAAGTCCAGCTACCACTCCTTCCATTAAAGGCTGCGACAATACATTACGATAAGAGAAGGTACAAAAAGAAAGGAAAAAGGGGAAAAAAAACAGAGTTGAACGAAAGAGGGAAATTCAAGCAGCACTTTCTTTCTCAGGTAAAACAGTACCGAAGTCGACACGTGTTTGCTCGCGATTAGAAGCATTTCCTGTGGACAATTGAAGGGCCAGACTCATCATACTCAGCCTTGGCAATCCACATCTGTGTAATACAATCAAACCAAATATCAGTCAGAAACTCTCTACACGAACATAATGCATCGTGTGAATTGTGATAAGAAGCAAAGAAAACTCACCTGCTGGAAAGTGCTTAGAGATGCCAAGATGGAACCTCCAATCCACACACTGTACTTCCTTTCGGGTGGCGCGACCACCTTAATCTTCATGCTGCTCGGGGCCAAAGCCGTGATCTCCTTGCTCATTCTATCAGCAATGCCAGGGAACATGGTTGAGCCACCACTGAGCACAATGTTTCCATACAAATCTTTCCTGATGTCAACATCACACTTCATGATGGAGTTGTATGTAGTCTCATGAATACCAGCAGCTTCCATACCGATCATGGATGGCTGGAAAAGGACTTCTGGGCATCGGAAACGCTCGGCCCCGATGGTAATCACCTGACCATCAGGCAACTCATAACTCTTCTCAACAGAAGAGCTGGTCTTTGAGGTTTCCAATTCTTGCTCAAAGTCAAGAGCAATATAAGCCAACTTTTCCTTCATATCTCTCACAATTTCACGCTCGGCTGAGGTGGTGAATGAATACCCACGCTCAGTCAAAATTTTCATGAGGGCATCAGTCAGGTCACGGCCAGCAAGATCAAGACGTAGGATAGCATGTGGAAGTGCATATCCCTCGTAGATGGGGACCGTGTGACTGACACCATCTCCAGAATCAAGCACAATACCTGCACCAAAGCAGAATAACTTCACTAGGCAGCCTCAATGAACATATAATCTCTCAATTCGCCTAATTTTCGTCAGCAAAAAGTCTAGAGTAACTTTTCTGAGGTTAGAGACATGTGTTCTATTTTTAAGCACCATTGAGAAAGCTTACCAGTTGTACGACCACTGGCATAAAGGGAGAGAACAGCTTGAATGGCTACATACATAGCTGGAGCATTGAAGGTCTCAAACATGATCTGGGTCATCTTCTCACGGTTAGCTTTAGGATTGAGTGGTGCCTCAGTGAGGAGAACTGGATGTTCTTCCGGTGCGACACGAAGTTCATTGTAAAAGGTGTGATGCCAAATCTTTTCCATGTCATCCCAGTTGCTAACGATTCCATGCTCAATTGGGTATTTCAGAGTCAAAATACCACGCTTGGACTGAGCCTCATCACCAACATAGGCATCTTTCTGCCCCATTCCAACCATAACACCTGTATGCCGGGGGCGACCAACAATGCTAGGGAAGACAGCCCTTGGTGCATCATCCCCAGCAAACCCAGCCTGAAAAACAGCAGGAACGTTACAGTATATATATTTTTTCTGATTAGGATGAAGATCATAATAAACGTTCACAGTTCAAAATGTAATCCTAACCAATTGGTTCATAAGTATCGTATCTAAAAGTTAAAAAACATTACATCAGAAGGTGGAATTCAATCACCTTAACCATTCCTGTTCCATTATCACAGACGAGAGGCTGAATGTCCTCGTTCTCAGCCATCTTTTATATTGCCTGCAATCGAATTTCAAATTGCATAAAATATTTAGAAAAGAAAAAGAAAATGAGCGATCTGAAGAAATATTTTATATAATGTGGGAATGCTTCTTTCACAGAAATGAAGAAATCAATGTGTCCAAACGTGAATTTTAAGAGGAGGAAAATCAGCCTCCAAATTCATCAATCATGATCTGCCGTAAACAGCAACATCAATACAAATTTGAAAGGACGGAATTACACAATGCAGCTAAGGTCCCTGACATTTAACACATCGGAGAAATTTTAAAGCTGCATCGTGTGAAGACTTGGGAGTTCTCGTAAAAACATACACTCTTACAGTAACGCAAGGAAATAAAATGACCGTTATGATATTCAAAAAACGACTTAATTACAAGCAAAATAATCAATGTTCATCCTCTGGTTCGTAAGGCTGATCATGGCCCGGTCGGTACTGCATAATCTTTTCAAAAACTAAGGAAAATCCAGGCAGATTAGATTCCAGTAGAACTAACTAATACTCATTAAGAACATAATATTTCACGGTTATTACATTCTAAGAATCTTGATATATAAGAATTAGTCATCACGGAAACATTACTCGAAAGAATCTTCCTGTGCAGCAAACCCAGTTCTTCGAAAATTAGAACAAGATTCAAGCACTGAATCAATCCCCAAATAAAATCCGTCCGGTAGAACCAACAAACAAGAATGCGAAGAAAATCTAACAGACAACCGTATTTAATTCTAAGGCATCCAAAAAGCTACCAATATATCGTGTCTATTCCAAAGAAACCAGCAAATCGCTGGAGGTGGAGGAAATGGCGATCGTTTGGAAAGAAATTCGAGAATGGAAATCAGTACACTAAGACGAGAATGTAGATAGAAACATTGATGGAACAATTTGATTGGAAAAATTCTTGTACCTATTACGAAACCCTTGAAACCGAAATGGAAATGGAAATCGCTCTTCTCTGGAGGTTGGTTTCTTAGCTAGCAGCTCCCGAGGGGTGGACTTCACTGTTTATTTCAAAAATCGCGGATACAAAAAAACGGAAAACGGACGATGCAAAAAGACGAAGTCAAAGAAAATAAAAACAAAACAGAGAATGGGAAATGAAGCTCCGCCCGAAATGAAATGCGACTTAAATGCACCCCAAATTCGGTCTCATTCTGACCATTCCTGGGTCCACATATAAGCTCTGGATCTACGGTCCACACGACACGTCACTTTGATCTGTGCCTCTCGTCCATCCACCTGTCATTCCCTCTCCAGTACCAGAATACCCTCGACTCTCAATTTTTGTTTTCAAAATGAAAACAAGAATTGAATAATTAAATACTTTTTTTAGGTACAAATTATATAATTAATTTAAATAATATGTAGTTTCCTTTTTTCGATTTAAATAAAATTCAATAGTTGGTATTTTTATAAACAATTGTAATTTAAGGCATAAATAACTCATTTGCATATTCAAATCTCCCCATGCAAATTGTTGATTAGCTAAAAAAAATTTACTTCATGTCAAAAAAAAAAAGATAAAACTTATCAGATAGGTGAAAATTCATATTATCATATTCGCAAATATATAAACAAGACTATGTTTTTATAAATATGATAATTTATTTAGATTTTCGACGTACCTATTATTTAGATATTTTTATGTAATTTATGGAACTCGCCCATGTCAATATGCTAGTAGACTAATAAATATCTATTATAGATTAATAAACGATTACCTTTGATGAATATCTATCAATAATAAATGTGTATTATTAATAGACTGATAGATGTAAATTAGTGATAGACGTCTATCATTTATAAAGGTGTGCAATTGAGACGTCATAAGAGCAAAAAAAAATACCCATAGCGTAAAAGCTATTCGAGTGTACTTTTTATGTGAGTGAGTTTTGGTTCGTTACATTTACAAATTTTATACTATATTTGTAATTAGTTAGACTTATTTTTACCATATATAAACCCACCTCTTTTATTTGCAATAATGATAATTCTTAATATTTTGAAGGGTGAAATCACATATAATTTTTTTATAAAATTTAGATAA